TGGGGAGTGGGGAGCGGGGAGCGGGGAGGGACAGCATTAGGAGAGATACATGATGTAAATGACGAGTTAATGGGTGCAGCACACCAACATGGCACATGCATACATATGTAACAAATCTGCACGTTGTGCACATGTACCCTAGAACTTAAAGTATAATAATAATTTTTAAAAAAAGAGTTGATATTGGTTGTTTCTTCACCACCCAGCATACATGTCCAGCTTCCCTCCTCCCCCAACCCTGCTTAATAGCAGCTAACTTTGTTTCGGGTATGACATCTTGAATCCCCTGTCAGTAGCCTATGTCTGTAAAAAAAAAAAAAAAAGTAGCCCATGTGTGACTGAATTCAGTCTGGTAGGACAGTTAAGCAAATTATCATCCTGCTGTGTCCAATTAAACACTTCCTCCCAGGTCTTTGACTCTAAAGCAAACAGACCCAGAGGTTAAGAACCAGAGGAATTGTCCACTCCTGCAGAACTGTAGCCTGGTAAGTTCAGGGTTCCTGCTGTAGGCCCCAGTCTGAGTCAGACTTCTAAGTGAACAGAAGAAGCTTCCTTAGAACCAGCTAGTTTCCAAGCCCGATCTCTAGCCTCCTTGGTGATTCAATAGGCCCCACTATCCTCACAATAAACGGCCTGTGGCTTTCTTAGTAATTGTAACTTGCTGCCAATGACCCTTAATGGTTTGGGTGACATTTCAAATCAGCAGGGAAATATTAGAGTATTCAGAAAATGGTTTCAGGAAAACTACTAAACTATTTAGAGAGAAAAAGTCCAATTCATCAAGTAGATTGCAAAATACTAAAGAGTTAACTATAAAAAAAAAAGCACACCATAACCAGGAAGTTATTGGGGTAGCATAATCTTGGAAAGGAGAAAATCTTTTTAAGCATGATTCTAAGGTAAGATTACAAAGAGAAATATTGGTAAATTTGAATACATAAAAATTAAAACGTTTTCTATTTTTCTGACAAAAATTAAAAGGCAAATGACAATCCAGGGAATATATTTGCCCAATATAAGTCAAAGGATTCAAAGTCATAATATATAAAGAGCTCTAATAAATCATTAAGATAAATATTTAAATCTAAAACTGAGTACAGAATACATACAGACAAAACACAGAAGAAAATAAAATATAAATGGTGCATAAACATAAATATGTGACATACTTACATATATGTATAAATATATATGAGCTTATGTATATGCAATTATAAATGAATAAAAAGTTTAATCTTACTAGTATTCAAAGAAATTCAAATTAAATAATGAAGTCGTCTTGTATCTTTCAAATTAGCATGGGTTAAAAAGAATAACAACTTTCAGTGCTGGCAAAGGCATAGGAAGAAGAGCATTCTCATATATTGGGAATATAAATGGGTAAACTTTCCTAAAAGGCAGTATGTCAATATGCATCAAATACTCTAAAGATACATTCATTTTTATCATATATATCTACTTTTAGGAGCT